ACCTAAAGAAAATGAGCTGTAGAATATGTAAACCAATCGAAGCCTTAAGAAGCTCTCCTGTCAGAGCTCGAATGCTGAATGCTTATCCTGAAGGTACAGATTAAATGAAAGTGTGTGTTATGGTCTTAAACGTCCTTTGTGCTCTCTATTAGAAAGAATAGTTGTCTGCCTGAATTGTAGTAGGGCTTCTATCTGTCAAGCGCTTCTGAATCACTTGATGCATTGTTCAGGCTTTACGATGACGCGCGTCGGCGCACTGGAGCGCGCGACGAAGTACTGCAACGCACTGTAACGCGCGTCGACGCGCTACCACTGCATGGACGCCCTAATGCACTACCGAATAGTGCCGGTCGATACCAGACTGCGCGATTGGTGAACGCGTACCCTCCTGCTCTCCATACTCTCTCAGAAGCCAAGCGGTCTTCTCTGATCGATTCCCGTCTGCGGCTACGTTCGCGTCTTATAGCATTGGAGCGCTGTTGCAATCGTAACGCGTCGACGCGCGTTGTAGCGCGCTAGAGCGCGTCGCCACGAAGTCTGAACGCCGCCTAAGCAATGCCTCTCTTGCTCCACTGGGAAAGTGGTTTGGCCGCAGTTGGGTGACGGGTGGCATTTTGCACTTTCGCTGCTTCACTAGTTCCGGTTTACAAGTCTCACTCTGGTGAAACCTGTGAACTCTTGTGAAGCTGGAGCAAGCTCGTCGAGCCACCATGGTAAAATTTGTCACTTCAAAAAAATGCTCTCTAGGTGAGTCGACACGCGGAAGTAGCGAAAGTACAAAATGCCCCTCCCCCACCCCTCCACTATCGCCAAACTGCCCTAACAATCATTTAATCTATACCAAAAAGAATCCTCAAAACGCTAAGGTTTAGGATTTATGCTTGCGAGTATTGCGGTAAACGAGGACGTCGAAACTATCTCAAGGCTCACCTTCGAACTCACACCGGAGAAAAACCGTTCACTGTGAGCTGCTTTTGAAATCGGTTCTACGGCATCCTACTTCTTGGATCCTTCCTTTCAGTGTGAAACTTGTGAAAGAAGTTTCGCGGACGGAAGCACATTGCGTCGACACCGACTGGTTCATTCCGGTGAGAAGAAGCATAGCTGTCCAATATGTGGAAGAGGTATTGCTCGCAAAGACGAATGTTAAATCGCATATTCGAAGCCATGGAGTCCATTGTTGAAGTGGTTTGCTATGAAGGAGGATCACATGGTAGTGCCCTTTGTTATCTGTTGATGCTTTTTTCACTTGATATGCTTATCGGGGTGTAATTGTTGTGCTGATGTGACTTGTGATGGTTAAAAGTATGGCAATAGTAGTTTCCTTGGTTTTAGTTGGGCTGATGATCACTTCATGAAGTTTGAATGGTTTTGACAAATTTCTGCATGGGTTGTTCGAAAAGCTTTGGGTTTCGGGATATCCGTCAACTGGGGACATCCTTCTTCCTTTTTCCCCGATCTTTCCCCTATTTTCATCTTCTCTCTCCCTCATTTTCCTGCTTTCAAGGCATGTCCTACTCGGAGCAGGAGGGAGTGGAACCGCATGCGGTCGGCCAAGGGAGGGGGGGTCGTATTTTATAAAAAAAACCTCAATTGTCGGATGTTCCCTGTTTCAATGCTCAGCCAGAAACGGCTTCTGGGCCTTTGAGCAAGAAAAACCTTGTCCCACTTGCAACCGAGAATTTGTCATTTTTCCTGCTTTTTAGCATTTTTTAGTAGATTTGTTTAGAGTTACGATTTCTAGTCATGCTAATGTTTTAGTCTGAGCTTGATTTATTATTTTAAATGGGATGTTTTGAAGTAGTTACTGAGTTTTCTTCGTGTTGTATTTTTTTCTAACCACATGATTGTTGGTGAGATTACACGTTGGGTACTCTCGGGTTTTCTTTTTTAAAATAGTAGACGATCGTTTTTATCGAAAATTGTCCATATTAGAGTAGCTGCTCAATAAATAATATTTAACAGTTCTCATGAATGTTAAAGTAGAGTTAAGAGGTTTGACCCCTTACTGTTTGAACTGATTGCCAGTAGGCCTTCATTACTGTTGATATCTGAAATTTGAACTACCCTTTCGGCCTTCGTGGACCACGATAGTCGAAACGTTAAACCCATTCGATCCAAAGCCCTCCTACCAACCTCGTAAACCCCCAAAAGTGCGTAATTGTTATCGTCGCAATCAGTCGGGGCGCTGTCAGGAGGAGTGAATCAAGGCGTTTTCTACCGATGGTCGGTTTCTCCCTGAATCAATCACTAACCGCTCATTGTTGGCAGGACACGCTGCCTAGGGGCTCACTGCACCTCTCCTGACACCGCCCCGCCTGACTGTCACGATATCAACTATAACTCTTCTATAATCACAGCTAGCGATGTTGCGTCCTTCCTTGAGAGATTTGAAACGATTAGACCGCGTTCATACCTCGGCAATCTGGGAGAATTGGCGACAAAAAGAAGCATTATCCAGTTAGACGAGTGGGCGTGTCGGCGGGATGAGCTCGGTCAAAAACGTTCTGTACCAGCTGTTGAAGAGAGTAAGTGACAAAACTGTGTCATACCGCTGGTATCACTAGTTTTCTACCAACTGTTGTCAGCTGAGAGAGAATGGGTGTGGCACCGTAGCACACTCAGGCTGCCTGACACGCCCCTTTATCCGCAGTTGAGTATCTTTATCTAGAGTACGTATCAATGTGAAGATAACGCGAATAAACAGAGAGAGCTTCTACGCGGGCTATAGCAGTAAAAGTGAATCCGGTAAGGGTAAGGACGCATTCACAACATGTGGACGTGGAGACTTCACGATATTGGAGAAAGCGCAACGAATCATTAGGTGGTGATCGGGTAACTCCGTCGGCTTGCGTTTTCGAAGGATTTGCGAGTCGGGAGTTGCGCCCTTCGAAGTGGGCGTTCCCACTCTGGAGTGCGCAACTCCAGACTCGCCGATCTGTCATGATGAATGTGATTGTAAATGATAGATCGGCTGGAATTGCCCACTTCGAATAGCGCCTTCTGCCGTCTAGCGGGTTCCTCTTGAAGGCAAGGCGACTTAGCTAACCGATAACCATGCACTGATTCAACGCGTTTTCTCCGAAATTACGAGCTGTCATCGTCTGCAAGGTATGAACGCATCCTTGCCCTTTTCGGATCCCTTCCTTTTCCTGCTTTACCCGGCGCGGTAGCCGTTCCCTGCTGATCCGTCAATATCTAGCCTTGCCTTTGTGTTTTCAGCCTATTTGTGCTGCCATGATTATACATTCCCCTCGTCTAATGTAATTTTATTTAGATGAGCCTTGATTTAGGAATGAACTCTGAGTCGGCACGTGTCCTGTCATTACTCGAGGAGATCAAGTAGGTTTGAGAAACCATTGAGAGCTTGTTCAAGATGTTCAGAGGCTTTTTCAGAGAAACGCAAAACGAAATTCTTGAGAAGATGACTCTCCCGAATGAAACGTTCACTATGGAACTGGAGCGGCTGAATAGCCTTGTGAGTTTTACGGCCTGCAATGATGCAAAAATAGCTCCATTTTCCTGTTTTTGTTGCTTTTCTTCCTTGTTTTTCTGCTTTCATGGATAGCTATCGGGCCATCTCAACGCAAATATTTACACATGAATCCGTGACTTAGGATCAGACTGCTGTTTCCGTTTTAGTTTTGTTCTGTTAATCTTCTTCCGTTTGTTCTTGGCAGCTACAGTATCAGATCAATTCAATTACACTTCTGTTCGCTGCGAATGAAGGGGCGTGTCAGGCAGGATGTTCCATCACTTGCTAAAGCGAGCAAGGGCAGGGCTATATGGTACCTTTCCTATTGTTCGTTTTCCATCAGCTGCTGTCGCTTACCCGGTTCAATAGCTGGTGGAAAACAGCTTTGGCACCGCGCTAGACCCACTCCGCCTGATACGCTCCTGATACACTCCAGCGACCGAGACTATACTTGATTCCATGAGTTTGTTCTTTGAGCCGTTTGAATACGGTTGATTAGCGGGGCACACTGGAGAATATGTTGTTATCAAATATGACATTCCCTCCTGGGACATAACTTCTGAAAAAAACCATAAAACTAAAAAGGGGAAGCTGAGTGGTGGGGCTGAATGGAGGAAGTCCAAAAATTCCGTTCTATACACTTGTGTACATTTATTTCTGTCGCAAAGTCCACAATTGAAAAAGTGGATTTGCGAGATAAAAGTTAAATAACTGACAAATTTCCCAATGAATTCTCTAACGAGTGGATGGAGTCGCCGGGGGCGGGGTCAGTTGTATCAATGAAAGTCCGTCCACTGATGTAAATATGTGATATACCTAAATTGTGAAAACTAGTGTGATAATTTATTGCATATAATGAGCATATAAGTGTAAATTATGTTCGTGGCAGAAGGGGGCGGGCTAATCTCGAAGGCGCGGGCCCCAGTGAGGTCCTGGAGGATGCCAAAAAATAGGCTTATCACGAAGATGATAGGGTGACTCGGTTGGGACATCCTAAAGTACGACGCACCTGCTGATTAGATATGAAGATCAGAGTGTAAGTTCCCACGTCAAGCATGGAACGGCGCCACTAATGCTATGCGCTTGGCCTAGTTGGAATAGAATATTCTATGCAAGTGATCTATCTGATCCCGCCCGCTAATCTTTTTCCGAATTGCGTTTTTTTCCTTTCAACCACCAATGGGCGCTTGACATTGTGCGCAGGTCATTAAATGGCGAGAAGGTTGTATGTAGCACGTTCAACCATCTGATCGCCTCACCATGAATGCTGGTTGCATTCTTTTTATGCTTGCATGAACCTGCCTTTCTTTTCCCCTATCTTTATATTTATCTTTCTCTTTACTTAATTCCTCTTCTCTCTTTTTTTTTTTCTTTCAGCTTCTTTTTCGGCACAGTTGATTGATAGGCCGGTTCGAAGTGATACTCCGCTAAGCTTCCAGAGGGACCTTGTAAAAAAAAAAAGGGGTAAAGACTTCTGATATGCTAGAACCTGTCATCAAATGCTCACTACTATCAATAAGCAGTTTCACAGCAGTTTACCGGTCTCTTTCAGATGAGACCTACTTTTCAATCTGAACAAGGAAAGGAAACGGTAGAATCGTGGCTAATTGTTCCTTCAGCAGATTCGTGGTCTGCCAAATTACGCAAGAGAGACAAAGAGGAGTTGCTTCCAAAAAATAATCGTGAGAATTTCATTTGCAGGCAGAGTTTGGCAGGCATTATGTGCATGGTAGAAGACTGGGTGGCCGTGCGCGCGGAGGAGGGAGGGGCATGGCTGAATTATGGAGTTTATCACCGGCACCAATTCGCGCCACTTCCTCTTCCTCGTTCCAGTTCTACGACATCATCACTCTCAGGGGGGGGGTCTGGAGAAAGGACCGAAACGCTATATTTTTCTTCTTTTTCTACGGGTTTTGGTCTACATACAGAAATTTGCAGTGCCATACATTAACCGTACCATTCTCACATTCTTTAAATTTCGTATGAAGTCAAAGAGAGGCATGGCCCATTTAGAACCGACGGATTATTTGCTTTTTTAATGTTAATAGGAATACGAAAATACTACCATGGTAATTCTGCTTTGACGACCCTCTCTCTTTTATGAGTGTCATAGATTGTCTGTGAAGGGTCTGCTGCAGGTTGCGATGGAGAGGGGAAGGGAGGGGGGCGGGGCAGAAACCCTTCCTTCATCTAACCTACCTCTACAACTTATTTCCCCTAGTGAACAGGTGGCCGAGCAATTTATCACCAGCACCGATTCGTTTAATTAATTCGAACCAATTCTTCAATCGCTTCACGATTGAAGACTGGTTGCATCTTTTTATGCTTAAATGAACTTGCCCTTCTTTTCCCCAATCTTTATATTTATCTTTCTCTTTACTTATTCCTCTTCTCTAATCAGATTTAATCCCTAATTCCCTAATGTGGATTTAATTTAACCCTGGATTCACGTGTTTGAGATTGGACCTTTGGATTCGATCGCTATCCATGTTCAGACCCATCGAAGCGATGCACTAGAGATTCCGGTGTATTTCGCGATCAGCGACTTGCAAGCTCAAATCTTAAAAAGAACCGAATCATGAAGCATAGCAAGGCTCTTCCATTAGCTGAAAAGGTGCATGTCCTCAAGTACCGGAGTGGCACTTCCGAATAACCCGCGCGCAAATAAAATATACCCCTTGAAAAATACGCACTTTTCAGGAGAGGGCA